TTCTATCTCTAGGATTCTCCAAAACTGTCCTTACCAACCCAAAATGTCAACAAAAAAATGGATGAGGCATTGAAGCGGGATTTTGGTCTGTCTCAGGGTGAACATAGTTTGGAGATGTTCATAACACTGATAAAAACAAGTAAAGAGCCTCTTGGCTGGAATATTGCTTAACATCACAACAGCTACTTCATCTTTCATCTATACTCATATATTTACGTATATATTTATGTATATATTTAATCTTAGTAATTCATGAAGCATTCCTTAGAGCAAAACTTTGCACAGTTAAGTGTCAAGTGGCTGCTTTGAAAGGATGACCCTAATACATCTGGAGAGATTAATTTCTCCTTACAATTTTTTTTTTTTTTTTTTTTTTAATAGCTGGAATACTGCATATTTTAGTAAAAAATTCCTAAAGCAGGAAAAATCTTGCTCTCTAGCAAACATATTTGTATATATAAGGTAACTTGAGTTGATTTAAAAAAAAAAGCTGGGGAAGACATCATTTCATTGAATTTGTTTCTGATTGTGAAATTAAATGAGATGCTTTCTCTTTAGACAGAGAGCTGAGGCTGTTCAACCTGGAGAGGAGAAGGCTCCATGGAGACCTAATGTTAGTCTTTCAGTACCTAAAGGTGATATAAAAGAAAGAGGGGGACAGGCTCAGGATGGCGAAGCACTGGAACAGGTTGCCCAGAGAGACAGTGGATGCTCCATCCCTGGAGACATTCAAGGTCAGGCTGGGTGTTGGAGGTGGATTAGATGACCTTTGGGGGTCATTCCAACTCAAATAATTCTCTGGTTCTCTGATTCTCTTTCCTGTTCATCTTCAATTTTCTCCTGGGCTATGTATGTTTCAGCTGATCAACCTGTATTTTATAGCATAATTACTTAACATTATTGACACAGGATAGGGGACCAGTGGGATAAAGGACTGCCCTAATGTACCATTTCACAACCTCACCCTCACTTAAAGTGCAGTTAGTCATGATTCTGAGAACAGGCTCTGAATGGAGTTGAGGCTATCTGGATTAAGATGCCCTTTAATAGAATAAGTACAATCTATAAGCTGCAGCTCAAGTGTGAACATCGTTTTCAGACATCTTCACAAGCTAGATGAGAGAAAACCAACCAAGAATGTTTCTAAGAGTGAACTTCCTTTATTTTCTGCCCAGTTATGAACTTGTAGCCTATGAGGGATTACTTGCAATCCATTGCTAATGGCTTTAGATTGCAATGTAGAGGGAAATGTCTGACTACTTCTTCCTCAGCTCAAAAAAAACACCAACCGACCAACCAAAAAAAAAAAAAAAAAAAAAAAAAAGAAAAAGAAAAAAAAAGAAAAAGAAAAAAACCTCCACACCAAACAAACAAACAAACAAAATTTGTTTGAAAGTGTTGCAAAGAACTTATATCTCTCTCTGTTTCTGCAGTTCTTCTGTAAGAAGACGTGTTCAGAGACTATTAACCTACCAGCGTGATACTCTCAGCGTGATACTCTATTGCATTTTATATCTTTTTTATGTAAGACAAAAAGTAGGACAAAATGTGTCCCCTAACGCTGTAATCTGAAGCACATAACATGGTGGACTGAAGGCAGATTTGCTCATTTGCAATCCAGTGCTTACAGAAAATAATATTTCAAATTTTTGAAATTAACTCCACACCTTGGTCTCTTCCAAAGACATTCAGAGTTACACTGATGTAGTATTCTTACCAAACACATCATAACATTTAGCAAGACATGCAGATATGAATCCATGGTAGGCAGTTTAATGTTGTTAGAACAAGTCCTTATTTTAATTGGAAAGACAACTTGGATTTCATTACTTTCCTGAACACAGACACATGACTGCTATTAACCACTAGATGCCACAGTTGCTCATATAACAGCAATCCAGTCTTTGCTTTGCTCCGTCCACAAAAAAGCAAACAAGCAAACAAACAAACACACATTTCCAACAGATTTCCCTGTGGTGTATCAAAATACTCATACATTGAGCTAAAAATACAACTGCAGGTAGACACTTGTAAGATTTCTGCTCCAAATATCCTCACACTCAACTCTTTTCATAGCCCTCTCTGATAGCACAAAATAGCTTGCAGTTCAGTTTCATCTTGGATGTGTTTAAAATATTTATGGTCATCTCCCACCTCCCAGGTTCACTTGTTTATTTATTTATTTATTTTTCTGTTGACAAAGATAAGTGCTGTTTCCCCTGCTGTCAGACCCAAGGAATCGGAGCTGCTGACATGGACTAGAAGAGTAACTCCAGTGTTTGTGAGAACAGTGGAAGCATGTAGGTGTCATATGTCATCCCTGTGTGACCCACAGCTGCAAGCAAAAGACTAGGGGCACTGTGGCAGTAGAGTGTGTGGGTGTGCATGGGGCCCTCACTGCTGGAGGCAGTGCTGCAGATAAGTTGCAGGACTCAGCCGAGCTGAGCATGCAAAGCACAGGCAGTGGGAGACTGCTTTTAAGTAGGAGACTTCTTTGGGAAGCTGAGATGCCCATAATGCTGATAATCCCTAATGCTGTAATAAATGCTTTTGAAGGATGGTTGATTCTGAGGTACAGTGCTTATGTTGTTATTGCAGCCTTGCTCAGCCAGGACAGCATCTCATGGCCATTGCCAAGTCCAAGAACGCTGGTTGCTATTAATCAGCTTTTAATTTTATTAAAAATTCTTACCTCTTTTCGGCTTTCAGAAGGGGGATAAGCAGTCAATTCTCAAAAGCACACAGGCAAACTCACGAAGGAGGATAAAGGCAGCCTGCCTCAGGTGCCACAAGCCTGAGGCCTGAGGTGGGACTGCTTGGGGTTGCATAAACAGCTTGGGCCTGCACAAACTGCTTCAGGACACTGTGGTGACAGCTGTGAGCAAATACATAGATGGGCCTGGTAACCAGATGTTTGCTGACGGGCATAATAAACACTCCAGCCTGTACGTAGAGAGGCAAACAGCAATGAATACCTCTGGAAAGGACGTTCAGCCTCAGGGCAGCCAGGCAGTGCGCTGCCCGAGCCTGAGCTCTCACAGCTCAGAGATATGAAGAGTACATAGTCCATTGTATTTTGAAGGAAAGACTGAAAATTACTCCTGTGAGTGACCTCTTCATAGCTAAGGACCATCTACTGCAGGCTTTTTTCTTCCGTTAGGTGGGCAGATCAACTTCTGTCTATTTGGAAAAAGGTCTGACACTCTTTTCCTACTGCTCCATCACTTTTGCTGTCATCGCACAATGCTGAAGCCTATTCCCTTCTTTTGTTCTGGCATTCATGTATGAGACTTAAAAAAATGATAATAGGCAACTCATGGCCTTTGAGAGCTACAAAATGGGTGATTTTGCTGGCGAACAATTGAACATACATCACTGCTTCTTCATTAACTTGAATTTATTTCTGTGAGATGACAACTGAGCACTAGGAATCATTGTGGAACTCCATGGAGGAGATTTTTATGGGAGATTTTTTTTCTGGAGATGAGCAACTTGCATGTGGTGGATATAAACATGAGGGATGAGAGTGATCCCTTCCTGAAGGGAAGCCATCCAAACCTGGACAGGCTAGAGAAGTGGGCCCATGAAAACCTTGTGAAGTTCAGTAAGGCCAAGTGCAGGGTACTGCACTTGGGTCGGGGCAATCCCAGGTATTTATACTAACTGTGAGAAGGAACTCTTTGAGAGCAGCCCTGTGGAGAAGGACTTGAGGGTCCTGATAGATGAGAAGCAGGACATGAGCTAGCAGTCTGTGCTTGCAGCCCGGAAAGCCAACTCTGCATTAAAAGAGCAGTGGCCAGCAGGGAGAGGGAGGTAATTGTCCCCCTCAGCTCTTGTGAGGCCCCATCTGGAGCACTGCGTCCAGGCCTGGGGCCCCCAGCACACAAAGACAAAGAGCTCTTGGAATGGGTCCAAAGGAGGGCCACTAAGATGATCAAAGGGCTGGAGCACCTCTCTGTGAAGAAAGATAGAGCGAACTGCGCTTGTTTAGCTTGGAGAAGGCTCTCGGGAGACCTCATTGTGGCCTTCAAGTACTTGAAGGGAGCTTATAAACAGGAGGGAGTATGGCTGTTTATGAGGGTGGATAGTGATAGGACAGGGGACAATGGTTTTAAACTGAGACACGAGAGGTTTAGGTTAGATATTAGGAGGAAATTTTTCACAGAGAGGGTGGTGACACACTGGAAGAGGTTGCCCAAGGAGGTTATGGATGCCCTATCTCTGGAGGCATTCAAGGCCAGGCTGGCTCTGGGCTGCCTGGTCTGGTGGTTGGTGACCCTGCATGTAGCAGGGGGGTTGAAACTAGATGATCACTGTGGTCCTTTCAACCCAGGCCATTCTATGATTCTATGATTCTCCCGGCACCGCACTTGTGTCATTCAGGAGCACATCTGAGGCAGACACGGCACAGGATGCTCCCGCCGCTGCCGTCCTCGGGCGACTCGCAGCCACGCCCGCCGAACAGCCGCTGCGCCGCCGACTCCCGATGTCTGACCAGGGAGGGCCCAGCCGTTGGGGGGCGCCGGGGTCCGGCGGGGCATTGGAGTCCGGGCCCATCGACGGGGCTACGGCGCGGGGCAGCTCGGTGGAGACCTAAAAAAATCGTTTCCTTCCGGAGCGACGATGGCGGGGCTGTAACTTCCCCGGTTCGGACTGGGCATCGGCGTCCTCCGGAGTGAGGCGCTCGGAAACCGCGGAGGAATGTAGCGGAGCGGCAAGCGAGGGCCGCTGCCGTGTGGAGGAGGCTGAGCGGTAGGAGGGGCGGGGAGGGACCAGCCGCGGCAGTGACAAGGTGCCAGCGAAGCCGAGGGGACGCTGCTAGGGCTCCACCGCCCACGTCGCCGCCCGCCCGGAGAAGTTTGCCTCGGGAGCAGTGCAACCGCCGGGGCCACCGCGGCCGGGCAGGGGAGCCGCGTCCGAAGCCGCCGCACCCGGAGCCGCGGCGGGACGAGTGTCGCCTCCGGCGGGACGCGGCGGGGGGACGTCGCCCCGCCTGCGCCATGGCAGCACGCTCGCGGAGACCCTGGCTGAGCGTGGTTCTGGGGCTGGTGCTGGGCTTCACTGCCGCCTCCTGGCTCATCGCTCCCCGGGTGGCCGAGATGAGCGAGAAGAAGCGGCGCGGCGCCAGCCTCTGTTCCTACTACGGCCGCGCGGCGGGGCCGGGGGCTGCCGGGGGCGCCGGCGCGGCGGTCGAGCAGCCGGCGGCCGCGGCGGTGCTGGGAGGCACGGGCGTGCGGAGCAGCCCATGGGAACTGCCGGCGGGAGAGGAAGGCACGGTGTTCAGCCCCGCCGCCGGCGGAGAAGCGGAGCAGGAGGAGGAGGAGGAAGGCGGCGAGAAGCGGAGCGGGCGGCCCGGCGGCAGCCGCAACGGGAGCGGTGACTGGGGAGGCGCGGCGGGCTGCGCCAAGCCTCGCAACTTCCTCTACGTTGGGGTAATGACGGCCCAGAAGTACCTGGGCAGCCGGGCGGTGGCGGCGCAGCGGACGTGGGCGCCCTCGGTGCCGGGCCGCGTGGAGTTCTTCTCCAGCCAGGGCTCGGCCGCGCCCCCAGGGCTGCCCCTGCTGCCTGTCGTCGCCCTGCCCGGCGTGGACGACTCCTACCCGCCGCAGAAGAAGTCTTTCATGATGATCAAGTACATGCACGACCACTACCTGGACAAGTACGAGTGGTTCATGCGGGCGGACGACGACGTCTACATTAAAGGTGACCGCGGGTGGCCCGATAGTTGGAGGGAGGCAGGGGAGCACTGGACGCTTCGCGGAAAGAGGCGGTCCCGTCCCACCCGGCAGCGCCCACCGCGGGGGCTGCGGTCTGGCGCTCCTCGGAGGCGGCGTCTTCAGTTACAGTGAGAATTCTCACGTGGCTGAGTAGCACTGCAAGCCGAGCAGACCTCAAAGTATACCTGTAAAGCTGCTGCTGCGCTTCGCAGCGCGTTCAGAAAGTATTGGCCCAGGTGCCGCGTGGGTGTTGTAACACCGTTAGTTAAGGACGTTCTGCAATCTTCTCCCTTTTGGTATGTGCTTGCCACTGCCTAAAGAAAAAAGTTGCTTTCTGATAACAAGAGAAAAACCACTGTTATTTGTTATTCCTAGGGAGGTATGGCCAAATGGCAGAGGCATGAGTCTGGGTTATGAGCGTGGTACAAACTGTAGAAATTTAACTTGAGGTAACTACACTATTTGTCGCTTGGTTTGTCTGAGTCATTTAATAGGTTCCTTACTTGTCAGCTGTCATTCATCCCTGAACTGTTTACACACCACACCTACATGGATTTGGTTGCAGGAGTAAAAGCTGACACTGTTGTCTTTGGGCTTAGTTCTGAGTTGTAGTTAACCTATCTTTAATCGGGTGCAAGTTAAACCTGTGTGCCAACTTTAAATTTCAGGTAAATGCTGAGTTACATTTCTTGCAAAAAATTGGTAAGCCGTTTAAAAGAAAATGCTGGATTTTTGCCATGTTCCAAGGGGAAGAACAGGAAATTATTCTGTATCAAAGGTTTCTTCTAATTTAGGCTTGAGCTCATCTTTTCCAAAATCAATCTCATTAGAAATAATACCTGACATTTTTCCTCAGCGTCTCTTCCTCCTCAGCTTAGAACTATATTGGCAAATTGTCTCGCATTAGAGTTTTAAACTACTGAGGGAATGATTTCCATGTGTTGGCTGAATAGTGTAAGGCTTTGATTATATTCTCTCTTCAGGCTACATGAAAGTGCCATTGAAATATTAATTGAGGATATTCATTTTAAAAAATAGTCTGAGACATATAAAGTTGCCCAAGGATACTATCCTGGAGGTAATTTCCTATGATAGTCTAAGGTGCCTGTTAGATTGCAGAGAACAAGCTTGAGATGCAGGAAAACAGATGGCTGACTAAGTAGACAGATAACGGTGTTTTTTTATTTTTTCAGGTGAAAAATTGGAGGAGTTTCTTCGCTCACTGAACAGCAGTGAGCCTCTGTATTTGGGACAGACTGGTCTGGGTAACATTGAAGAACTTGGGAAGCTGGGACTTGAGCCTGGAGAGAATTTCTGCATGGGAGGGCCAGGAATGATATTCAGCCGGGAGGTTCTGAGGAGGATGGTGCCACACATAGGTGAATGCCTTCGTGAGATGTACACCACTCATGAGGACGTGGAGGTGGGCAGGTGCGTCCGAAGATTTGGAGGAACGCAGTGTGTTTGGTCCTATGAGGTAAGTGAAAGGATTTGTCCCACAGGGTTGTTTATTTACACAGTTTTGCATCTTGCAGAGTATCTGCCATCTCTTTCCACTATAATTAGGTTTTAATAAATGCATTAGAATGTAAACTGCAGACTGCAAGGAAAAGTGGTAGGAAAACATTCATAGCACGTGGCTGCAACCATCTACTATTTCTACTTGTACTTTTTAGTTTTCATTTAGTGATGGTTACTGTAGCTTATATCTGTGAGCAGCCATGTAGTAAGTATTGCTATCTGATAAGTTGCTAAAGCATTACCTGTGGGTTTTCTATAAATAATCCTTGGCAGGGTGCTGCTCCATTTGATGTATAATGTTGAAGTTGGACCCTTTCAGAAATCATTTCTATATAAGCATCTGGCATATCATATTTTTCTATGGCACAGATTCATAAAATATACTGTGGTATTTGAAGAGGAATTGCCTGTATTTTCTTAATTATTCGGATGCATTTGAATAGAAATCCTGATGGACAAATGTAGAAATTGGGACTAATTTTTTCCTTATACAGATATGAAATTTGTTATATTGCTTGTGTCCCTGATACACTTTCAACAGTATTTTACTTGGTGAACGTATTTTACTAAGTGTTTAAATTTATGACAGACACATACAGCATAACAAATCTTAGTATGCTTAGGTCCTTCTGGGAAAAAATGACTTCATTCAGTAGCAACATTTTCTGAAGTAATAAAGATGTGTTGCAGCTCCAAAAAAGTTTGTTTGCGGTGCTGAGACTAGGAATCAGGGCTATTTCATTAAAAAACATTGTGGTTAATGGCAACATCATCTTTGCAGATTGAAATAGACTGAGTGTGCAGCTGACAGGAAGGGTGAAGAGTGATAGCATAAAATTTTAGTTATTTTGACTGGTTCTTTAATATTAATCTTTGCTTGTCCTTGTGATGTTACCTCATAAAGCAGAAAAATCATTTAAATGGGCCACTGAAAGAGGTTATATGTTATTAAAGACAAAAAGTCAAGAAAAATAATTGTTTTTCTGCATTAATGTTTTTTTTTCTTTTTTTTCTGAAAGGCCTGAAAAAAGGTGTCTACTTAAAAATGGGTTTGGTAGGCTGCACTGAATGAATGGTGAGAGAACTGTAAATCTTAAATTGCTAATATGGATTTAGGAGGTGGAAATCTTATCTCTTATAGAAGTGTGTTTTTAAAGACTACTTCAACAAGTGGTTTGAATTAAAATGTGATAAAATACACCAGCTGCACTGCTAGAGCAGGGAATGTATTTATTGTGCAGGTGAGGATTAATGTTATACTAGTAGTTCTTAGTCAGACTTTTAAGCACTGGTAGCTTAATTCTATATTCTGATGTATTTGGACTTTGCTTGTGAAAGTTCATTTTAAAATTCTTAATTCTTAAATGCCTGCTTATTTATATCAGATACTAGAATTCTAATTCTGGTCTGACAGTAGTATCTTGTTTTTTTTTCCTTTTTTCTTTTTTCTGTTTTGTCATCTTGGGAAGAAAAGTGATGATAACTTGCTTATAATTTACTACTGAATGTAAGTGGGATAGAGCAAAATTTGAATTTGCTTTTTTTCTGTTTTGGAGACTTGTGTCTAGGATGGTCTGCAAAGTGTGTTTCACATTTGTCTTGAAGGGGTTTTGTACTGAAGTACTGAACTTAGTCCTGCTGGGCTGCAAGGTTTTTATGAACATCACTACCTTTAGGGAGATTTTGAGGTTTGAATGTATAGCTGAAAACTAATGTGAACTGGGAACAATTCCATTCAGGTTTGTCGGAATAGAAAACCTCTAGAATAAAGTTGAATCTGTGTGACATAATTTTGTTACTGGATTTATTCTCTAGGAATGGGAACTGAGAGTCTTTTTTGTTGTTAAAGATGAAGGAAGTTGAAGAACTCATGAGAAAACGTGATGTGCTTGATCTTTGCCGGGTGCCTCTGGTGATGTAGGTGAACCTGACTGCCACTCAGGCTTTGTTTTGTTCCTGTGTAGAGGTACAGCCAGAATGTTGTGCTTGCCTGTGTGCCTTATTGATTTACACTTACGATGGCTAGCAAGGAAAGGACTACAGTGTTATTTTAAGAGTATTTTTCTCCATCAGAAAGAACAGGAAAAGAAGAGGTATATGAACCTGCAGTAACTGTTGCTTAGAGAGTAATTTTCTGGACTTAATCCTTCTTGTGCCCAGTAGGAAGCCAGGGCTGAGAACCTATCTCCCACATGCCAAGTAAGTTATGGCCGAGGTGATCTGTCTCTCTGTCTCCGCTGACAGCGCTCTTCCTCTTTAAATCACAAGTTAGTCACTGGATTGCTGAGAAAGCTAGTCTAATAGCAGAATTTTTGGGGCACCTTGGGTGGAGCAGATGAGAAACAAGCCTGCCTTGGGGCTGCTGTTTGTCAAATGCCCACAGTCAGCATTAAAGGTGGCTGTTGCTGGTGTGCAGTGGCTGCCCAGTACAGGTGTTCTGCTTTGCCTACCATGCTGTGCATGCCTGTGGTGAACTGGATGGAGTGAGGGTGAACCATCCAAATCCATGTCCCTGTGTGATGGAGAGACAAAGGGGCGGTGGTGTTTGGGAGTGTCTGGGAGAACAGCATTAGGCAGGTCAGGAGTAACAGCTGAGCTATAGCAGCAGTGCAGTGCCCCAGCATGGGCAGGAGAGACTGATGGAGCCCTGTGTTGTGCTCAGATCGTTTTCTTCTTGCTTTTTGCAGGAAATCCATCTTTGTTCAGATGCGGTTTTCAATTACGTCTTAACTTACTGTCCAGTTTTGGCAATGCTGTAGTGATTAAGGTGTGATTAAAACTGGCACATTTGCAAAAAATGCCTCTCTAAAACGTCTCAGAGATTTTTCTTTTTCAGCTTTAGCATCTTCTGCTTTCCCAGATCAATAATAATAGAAATTAAGTAGGATCTTTTGTGTTCTCAGAGTCCATATTTCAAGCGACCAACTCTCCTCCACTAACTTTGAAGCCTAGAAGAGCTTTGCAGTGGATGAAGAGGGTAGCTTGGCGTTAATGATTCACACTTTGTTTTATTCTTTAGAAAGTAGAGATACAGTTGAAAAACAGACATCGTGTTCCATGCTTTGCTTTTTATGAGGATCTATTTTGTAAAGGGCTATTCTGTAAATGAAAAAAACCCAAAACTCGAGAAGGCTGATTGCTTTATTCTCATCCCTTCCTCTTTTCTTTTCTTTAAACTGATCTTTATGGTGTTAAAAGATAGCTTTGTAATAAGTAATCTAAGTACATAACAAATCAGAAAAGGAGAAAATAAATAAGGTGACTAACAATTCTAACAGAAACCAAACATCTTCAGATTACAGATACTATCAGTGACCCAGGAGATTTTTTTTGTTTTCCAGAAATGGAAAGGTGAGAAATGCAACATAAAACTAATTAAGATTTTGAGACTTTAATGCTAAGTTTGTAAGGGTTGTCTTTTTGTAGACTTCATTCTACTTTCTACAGGAGAAAAAAGGCATTAAAACTACGTTCATAGAAATTGGCCTATACACTTTCAGTGTTTTGGTGATGCATGCTTTGATATTGAAAAAAAGTAATTTGACTGTACATACAAGCAATCCACATTAATGACTGCATGTATTTTCCCACTGTTTAATAGTCTCGTCTCATCAACTTTTTTTTTAATTTTATTTTAAATAGAGGAACTCTTTAGTATCGTATTTGTTTTCTATTCCCGTACTTACAGTAAGTATCCTGCAAAGATATCTCTTTATCAAATTGCTTGCCCTGGCACTGTGACTGTCTCTTGAGGTATAGGAATGCCTACTAATCATCTTCTGCTGGAAATACTTTCTTTAAATGCTGATTTTCCTTTCTTATGTCTCATAATTTTTGGTGAGGGACTTAGCTGTTTGTGTTTTGGTGGTCCTTTTTGGAGCCAGGGATTGGACTTGGTGATCCCTGTGAATCCCTTCCAGCTTGGGATATTCCATGACTCTCTGACTTTGTCTCTCGCTATTTTGAAGATGTCGGATAAAAGTGGAGCTTTCAGTTGAACACCATACAAGCATTAGGGGTGTATTTGTCTTTGGTGAAGATAGGATGGTGTTTTCTTGTTACGATACTGGCATGCTTAATTCTGAAGCAGAGATACCTAAGCAACTGTACTTGGGCTGAGCAGCTACATTAGATGTTTACTTAAATGCAACCATTATATTAAGAAGGCATAGAATAAGCTGTCAGTGATCCTAGAGAAAAAAAATGTATGAAAGTGTGAATAATTAAGGTAGTAGCAGTGTCTGAGGTTGTGAGGAAAGGAATAGAATCACAGAATCACAGAATTGTAGGGGTTGGAAGGGACCTCTAGAGATCATCGAGTCCAACCCCCCTGCCAAAGCAGGTTCCCTACAGCAGGTCACACAGGTCGGCATCCAGGCAGGTCTTGAACATCTCCAGAGAAGGAGACTCCACAACCCCCCTGGGCAGCCTGTTCCAGTGCTCCGTCACCCTCACCATAAAGAAGTTCTTGTGCACATGCATGTGGAACTTCCTATGCTGCAGCTTATGTCCATTTCCCCTTGTCCTGTCTTCACGTACCACTGAAAAGAGACTGGCCTCACCACTATGGCCCCCACACCTCAGATATTTATAGACCTGGATCAGGTCCCCTCTCAGTCGTCTTTTCTCAAGGCTGAACAGACCCAGTTCACTCAGCCTTTCCTCATAGGAGGGATGCTCCAGGCCCTTCACCATTTTTGTGGCTCTCCGCTGAACTCTTTCCAAGAGGTCCCTGTCTTTTTTGTACTGGGGAGCACAAAAGAATAAATGATTTAGAATGATCACAGAGGCCTCAGAATGTGCTTTCTTTAACTATTTCTTATTTAAAGTTACCTTGGTACAGCAACATTAATGATAGATATCAAAATTGATCACTCAATATGGTTCTCACCGGATTAGAAGAGTGATTTGTATTTCCATACCATTTTAGTACAGTGTTTCATAGAATCACAGAAT